CACTTTCCGAGCCCGAGGTGGGGGCGGAGGAAGAAGGGTTTGGAGAAAAGAGAAACGGAGTTTCGAAGCTACTTGGTGGCGCTTGCATTGAGCTGGGGGGTCGGGGGCTGGGGAGGAAGGGGACAGTTGCAAGGTTGGCCAACTTTTGTAAAATGAGGGGGGTTGGAGGGGAGACAGGGGTTGGCCCCTTTAAGATTCACTCTCCCCTCCTCTCCACCTCCACCCCTGCCTTTCCCTCCCTCTCTTAGAGGCCAATTTTGTTAATTAAATGTTTTGTTTGCAACGCAGCTCTCATTCATTGCGGACACGTCATTCGGAGCAGATCTAAGCCAGAGACCAGATCTCATTAGATAAAGCCCATCAGAACTAAGAAAATGGAGGAGCCACTAATTAAAGCTTTTAATTGTGCGGATTCGCTGCAGCAAGGCAGCCGCTTTATCTGAAATCTTGGAGGGAGAGGAGGCAGAAGCCCAGCTCTGCCCAATCCACACTTGGTCGCCCAGGGAAGAGGGGACTGGGAAAAGCAGTGCCCATACTACCAACGCCCGCCCCTCCTCCCCCTGCCATACACACACACACACGTACACACGTACACCTCCCGGCTCTCCCGCGGCGTTTTAGCCAGATCTCGGTTGTTTCACAAAGCTCACAACCTCAAAGTCAGACAGTTTAAAAGCCCTTAATAAGTCGCTCTGTGGTCCCAGCCAGGCCACAGGGCCGCAGGGTCGGTCCCCTTCACCTGGTGGCCAGAGAGCGGATTACTCCGCCCTTCAGTGGCCCATGGATCAGTCCCAGTCCCGGCCCCGGCCCGGCAAGAAAAGGCTCACCGGGACCACCACCGGCGCTCCTGGCGCATTTCCTCGCCCTCCCAGGACCTGGAGCCCAACCCGTCATCACTGAACTTCAAACTAGAAAGCTCCTCCAACAAGTGTCCTGCAGCGAGATTCCAGAGGAGGGGTACCTGCGAGGAAAAGGATAGTGCAGGCCTCCCACCTTTCCACCTTTTGGCATCTTGATGGGCAGAGGGAGGAAACACTGAAGAAATTCCTTAAATTAGGAGCGGGGAGTGGGGGTGGGGGGGAGGCGAAGAGTGTCAGCTGCTGATGAGCCCTGAGCAGACAGAGTTTGAGGCCAGCAATTTGGTGCTGAGCTAGAACTCATCCCTCCGAGACGGATCTAAAAGGCTTTCAAGATAGCATCCAGTTCAAGAAAAGGCCTGGCTCCAGTTTTTAAATGCAGAGGAAAAAAGAAAGGAATGAGAACAAGGACCCAATTAATACGGCTCCCCCGGCACATACCCCCTCCACTGCTCCGTTAAGCCACCGAAAACAACAAATGGGCATTTATATTTGGCCTCAAGTATAGGGAAAGGAATGGAGAGTCCCAGGAACCCACTTGCCTAAACTTGTCCTGAGGGAATGCAAGTGGACCCATCTTCCTTTTAATTAGTGGTAATCAGAAGCAAAGGTTTTTTGAAGGCACTTGGAGAAGAGATGAATCTGTACCATTCACCGTGTCTGAACAGCACTGTCAATTTTTCCACTTCAAACCACCGTCCTTTCTTACCACAGTTTTGCTCTCTATTTAATTACAATACTGTCAAAGCTCAAGGCACTGCTTGGAAGGAGGTCCAGAAACCATTGCACTCATGCTCCTGCTGGTTTTCCAACATTTACCTCTAAAAGAACACTTAGTGAAATTAATGCTGCCATCTTAATTTCTAAGTAAAAGCCCTCTCCCATCATGTATTTCTTTACCTTGGCTGATGGAGGATGCCAGCAGAGTAGACATAGGTTGCTTCACTGGAAAAATCAAATGTCATTTTACTCCATCATTTTACACTAAGGATATCACTGGGCTAACTATACACACACTCAGCTCTGAGCCACATAGGGATCCTTTTCAGTTTTAACTGCAGAGTGAGGGAATCACAATGGAGCTAAACTTTGAACAAAATATCTCGTCCACTGATTTGCTGCCATTGAAAAAAAAAAAAAGAACAAAATTTTCTGCTAATCATTATAAAGAAAACGGTTTAGAGCAGAAATTTAAATAGAATGCAATTCTTTTTCAAAGTGAGCGGTTCTTGAGCACTTCTCTAGTATTAACGGTGTGCATGGCTTTTTTTTTTTTAATTACTGGATGTTGAAACAAAACACCTCCTAGAAGCATTCATGTGCATCAGTCTATCAAACCATTTACTCAAATTAAATGTGTAATCCTTCAAATGCCTCCTTTCAAATTAATGAGTTTAAGTAGCTTGAGTTCACCTGAAAAGATCCTATAGGCACCTGACCTCCTGAATTCTTTCCATTAATTGCACCGAAACTTGTTGGAAAAGACTGCTTACACTGCCATATGAATGTTCCTATACATTGCTTTAAAATGCAAGATTAGTATATTCTATAGTCTCTTTTCCTGACTCTCTTTTGGGAACTAAGGGTAATGACACAAATGACAACAATAAGCCCCCAATCGGACTATTCCTCAATAGTTAAAAGCTACAGATTCTACATCGCAAACCACACACTAACACAGCAGCATAAGCCTCCAAGTAACAGTATATAAAGAGAAACGTTACCATTAAGTTTTTGGGGTTTTTTCCTGTAAGTACTACAAGTCTTTAAACTGATGGGTAATCAGCATTTTTCACAAGGAGACACAACACAAAGAATGAATCAGTTTTACAGGCAAAAAAGTTTAAAGGTGCTTATGTCAATATCATAATTAGCCACAAAAGGCAAATCATTTCTCACTAATTTCACTTTTAAATCAATCTTTTGTCTCCATTCTATGTAGATCCCTACCTTGCTTTAAGAAAGCAGCTTAACTCTCACTGGAAATGTTTTATTTTTAGCAGAGGGTCCCGGTTGGGGCTGACCACTTAAAATTTCGGTCCCCAGAGTGCCCAACTTTTGCACACCTCGCGGCACCCGAGGGGCAGTTTTTATTTAGTATAGCCTTCACCATTAATCTGTCATTAAAAATTTGAAGATTAACACATGCTTCTTGAACCCCTTAAATTCAGCCAACCAGCAGGTTCTTGAGACTACAAGGTATTCTCCTAGGAGCTCTGCTCCTTTCCTTAAAACCCTTGGCAACCTTTGGCCTTGCCATTGCTCTACTTTCCCATCTTGGGAAGGGCAGCCAAGTCTTACCTAATGTAGTCATTTCTGCAAAGGATCATGCCGCTCTTGGTGTAACAGGACGTGCCGATGTCACCCAGCTGCGCCTGGCAGCAGGAGCACTTGAGGCACCGGCTGTGCCAGTAGCTGTCCATGGCATAGAGCAGAAAGCGGTCCGCAATCTTGCCCCCGCAGCCTGCGCACCGCTTCCAGGAGAGGGAGCCGGCCGTCACCGGGGGCGGCTGTGAGCTGCTGCCCGGATTCACCATGGTCTGCAGAAGGCGGGAAGGGGGAAGGAAGAGAAATACAAAAAAAAAAAAAAAAAAAAAAAACAAAAAAAAAAAAAAAACACGGGCAATGCAAAAGTTAGTAAGTGCCGCGTGAGCTAGCGAACAGTTCCCCCCCAGACCTGCTGGAAGGAAGCAGCAGGGCAAGGGCGGGAAGGAGGGTGAGGGGAGAGGGAAGGAGGGAGGCTCGCCGGCAGCAGCCGCCTGTTTACTTTTCTCAAGCTTTGTTCTGAGGCCACGAGCTCCTCTCAACTTTCCAGCGCTCCCCACTGCTGACAATTCCAGCTTGGGTGCTGTCAAAACTCCGAGAGCGAGGCTCGGCCGCGCGCTCCACCAAAAAAAAACCCCAGCCCCGGCCGAGCCCCGAGTGCGAGCGGAGGGGAGTGGGGAGGCGGCCTCTGCTGGAGCCACGTTCCCTCCCGAGCTCTGCCCTGGGAAGTGCAGCTGCAGTTCACAAGTTGGAAATAGTTCGGTTTTCTGAGAAGGGAGGGAGGAACAGGCAGAGGGGAGATGGAGAGCATGGTGGTGGGAGGGGAGGCTCGGGGACCCGAGAAGGGGTGGGGGCAAGGGGCGGGGGCGGTGTGTAAAGTTGCGAAACTGGTTTTTCGTATTTTAAACAGCACCTTTCACATGCCATTGTGGTGACCGCCATCTCCCATTATTGTTCCAAATCTCATTTCATTTTGAAGATCAATGAGTGTTTTCTCTGGGTTTTCAGGACACAGGCAAGAATAATAGATCATTGAACTTTAGGATGCCTGTTAACTTCCTATACAAACACTCTCCACTTTGGTCTCACTAATCTGCCCTTGATCAGCAATTTAAATGCTAAAGCTTTGTTCCTCCGAGGGGGTGGGGGGTGGGTACGGGGAGGGGTACAGATAATATAGGAGAAGGCACTATTAAAGGATGCACAAGTAACACGCGAGCCAGTCCGGCTGTCACCAAAACTGCTTTTAAAAATTCCCCACTCTTCCTAATGAATGTCATGAGAGAAGCAACTGGGCTATAATATGGGAATCAATTTATAAAGCTTAGCCTAAACCGATTAATTTGTTGCCTCCAACCCGGAGTCCAATAAAGTCCTAGTGTTCCTCCAGTCACTTATTCTATAAAAAGATCAAGTTATTTACTGCCAATTAAGCAGCCTGTTTTGTCTTTGTCCTCTGTAAGCCGAGAGTGTGGCTCCCCCCAGGCTCCCAGCTATCTGCTCAAGACATTCAGCTGATACCTCAGAAGGGAGAGGGCGAACTTTGCCTGTCCCCGGCCCAACTTGGCTGCTGAAAAAAAAAAAAAAAAAAAAAAAACCGAGGGGAAGGGAACGAAAGAACTCGGGTTCCTTAAATAGGCCGATTTTAAACACATTTCCTCCGAAAGAGTCCCGGAACGTGTGTCCAGAGACCGCACAATAAACCAGAATAAGAACTGCACCAATTAAGCTGTAACAAAACCCTGAGACTTTGGAAACAAGACCACTCTAAAACCCATTAGCATTGCATTTATCCGAATGCATCATACCTTTATGTAAATTGATTTATCTGATGCATTTACTCGAGGAATTGCTTTTTGTTACAATTTCAGCCCTAACCCAAATGAATCTGCATTTCCTGCCCTAGGTCTTTAAACTGTTTCCCCCAACGTTTTAATCGCTCCGAATTCCTTTTTAAAAGGGGAGAGGGAGGGAGGAGATTGCAAGCTCTTCCCCGCCCCCCTCTTTGGTGAGAGGTAAATATATATGTATATTTTTTTTGAAAAGGAAACATTACACTGAGAAAAGCATCCAGTAACCCCATTAGCTAAAGCTCTTAAGGACAAGCAATACCTTAATGCTGATTAAATCTAAAAGAGATGAATCAAGAGGACTGACCAGAAACTGACTCCCCTGATAACTAAGGACGGGCCCTCATCAAGTTTCATTTAGAGTTGGAAAAAAAAAAAAGAAAGAAAGCTTTTAAGTTAAATAGGCTTATACTCTAGTAATTACATAGCCAAGCAATTTAGGTCCTGGGATAGTCAGTGAAATAGAAAGCAGAACTGGCAGCTAGAGGCAAAATCTGCCCCCCTTTAACAACGTCTCTGGTGTTTTTTAATGGAGACCAAGGGAGGGACAAACGGAGCGCTGGCAATTTGTAGTACAAAAATGGATGCTTAATTCATGTCTTGATTTTAATTAGGTGATTCACCGGATTTCTCCTGGATTGGAACAAAAGACTTGCAAACCAGGAGGAATGTTTTAAAAGACCCAGCAATACCGAATCCTGCTCACTCAGATCCTTTCTGCCACTGTTTCAAAAATAGTGTTTACTAGAGGAGTGGAGGGGGGTCGTGCCTATTCCCCCCACACTACTTCTCACACTTAAACCCTCCATGCAGCGCCCGCTGCCTTTCCCTTCGGAACTGAAAACCTCCCCACCCCCTCCAAGGTCCTCACCAGCCCGGTCTCCGAGAACCCTTTTGTAAGCAGGAACCGCTACAAAGCTGGCGGCCGGGGCTGCCCTCCGTGCTAGCTCGCAGGCCGGCCTCGGTAGTTTCAGACTCGCGCATTATCCAAGCCAACGTATTGTTTACTTGCCATTCGGGACGGTCAAGGGAAGGCAGCCCCAGGAAACAGCGCCGGCCCCC